TTCTTTTCTACTCCGTACATCAAGAGTTATACAAAACCGTCAGCAAAAATTAATCTTTGAAGCTAATCACCTACCTTCCATTAGATATGTTACTATGTGATTGTCTCTTTCCTTTTTAATTATTTATTATTTTAGTACTAGGAACTTCATTATGTGAGTACAATTTTTTTAGTAACTAAAAAATTGCTTAAAAAATAGTATTCCAGGAATCTAAGATGGTCCAAGTGTTTTAAAACAACCCCAAACATTAAATTAATTCATTAAAAATTAGTGTGCATGGATGAAGTTGGAGATTATGACTCGTATTCTCTTTATTTTCGTTTCAAAATTTTATAATACCACTCATTTAATAAAAAATAATTGTAGATTGACTGTTAAAGTTGATATTCTCTTATATAAAAACATAAAAGATGAACCCGTCAAGTGACTTAAGTGGTTACGAAGATGTTGTTCTCCTTAAAAATCACGAGTTTGAACAGTTACGTTTGTATGGTGTGTACGCACTATCAATTGGTTAAGAAAATTTTGGACATATACTATCTAATTTAATTTAACAGTTTCCGTAATTAGTTTCTTAATCACTCCACGTGCTCTCACATGCACTGCAATTCTTTACAAAGGAAACTGGTTGTGTTTTCTATCCTTAGGCAAATCGATTAAAACGCTGAATTTAGAAAAGATTGTATCAACAAGGAAAAAGGGTTTTTGATCCGATCCCACAATGTTCATGCCGATAATTGCAATGCACTCCGCATTATTTTCATTGCTCACACATATCCAGAGTATAAGTTTGAATACGTTCGATTAAAAGTATCCGAAATATATTCATATTGGACATATATCGTATTTAATTCTAATATCAAAACGTGTAAAATAGGTTGAAGAAACGTCATGCATATATCATGCTTTGCATTCTCGCAACGTACGTAGGACCAAGAATATACATATATGTTCATTTCATCCATGATGATCCATTAAGAGATGTTGGCCAATTGCTTTGCCTTTAATTTCAAAGAAGTGCAGCTCTGGCCCCTCTCAAATGGGAATCTGGACGATCCTAAACGTGCAAAGTTGGTGAGGATTGAGCCAATAAGCTTTAATAAGTTCTTGGTAACAATGCATATGCCCATGGAAATTAGATACTATAAATAAATTTATTTACCCATAAGTTGTTGGTCGAGGTAGTAATGGTTTTAATTCGACAACACATATTCAATTTTTATCTTTCAACACTATCTGATTAATCTGGATTAATCTTGAGTATATTTGATTGAAACCCTGATTAAAATAGGATTAATATTTAATACATTGTATGTGAAATATTTTAATTTCACAATCAGTGTTTAAATATTACCACACGTCCTAAATCTTAAATTATAAAGGTATAATGACAAAAAAAATCTTTAATATTTGACTAAATAGTCACTTTGACCTTTATTTTTTTTGTACCATGGTTCATTTAGGTTAAGAAGACCATTATGTAGACGGAAATTATTAGTCAACAAATGATCAACACTCTAAAATAGAGATTTTTTTATACTGAAATGAAATGTTGGAGGATGTGCTTCGAAAAAGAATAAGAGCTAAAATGATTATTTAATCAAACATTAGATGTATTTCCCCCCTAAAATAAAACGTTAGAGGGCCAAAATACTCCAAAAATATAAGATATGCCAAAAAGACTATTTAATCAAATGTTAGAGATATATTTTTACCTTATATAAATTATAAACATATTTTTACAACATTAAAACCCTAAACTTTAAAATATAAACTCTAATATATAAATCATAAATCATACATTAATATCACACTTCGTTTATTCAACCATGCTAGTCGAATTCTTTAACTCCACAGACCATGGATGGGCTAAGAGGGAGTGGGTAAAGATACTCGTCCTCCTCTCTTAAAAATTTTAAATTCCTATATATTTTATATATTTTCTTTATATTTTCGCCCCTTAAAAATTTTGTAATTTCACCCTCTCTTAAAATTTTATAAATTTATCTCATAACAAAGTCAGAATATATATAGATATATATATGGACCTAGCAATCAATAAGAAATTGTAAAGTCTCTTCTGGCTTTGCTATACCTACAATTATAAGTTTTGGATAAGAAGCATTGTTATCAATCTTTATTCATGATTTGGGAATAAACTAATTTAATTTTCTGTGTAAACTATAGTTTGAGAAAAGTAGGACGATCCATCATGTAGATTAGTTATGGTCAAATAAATTACTGAATATCCAATCAATAAATCTTTGAAGATGTGTGTGGCGCACAAAAACCAAACACCATCATCACCAACAATTCAACATATAATTCCACATTATCATCGTCCCTATAATTAATTTATGTCAAGATATTTACCCACAGAGCCGAATCTTAATACTAAATTTTGAAGTGGGGATTTGATGAAAATTCATAAAAAAAAAAATTAAGGTATAATCTTGTTTTTTAAAAAAAATTGAAGAGATTTAATGAGAATTTAGAAAAAAAAAGGGTAAACTACTTATTTGATCACTTACATGTTATTTAGTTTTTATTTTGATCATCCAACTATTTTTTTTCTTTTCAAAATCATATCTAGTGTTGCATTGTATTCATCCGTCATTAAAAAAATAACCGTTATATTGACATGGTATTTTTTTTAATTATTTTTCAATATTGATGTGACATTATCTTATGGTGACACATTAGTTTTACCATTAATTTTTTAATGGCGGGTAACCGAAAGAGAACCAAAATGTAATTTTAGGTACGGTTTAAAAATAATAATTAGATAATCAAAACAGAAACTAAGTAATAGGTGAGTGACCAAATTACCAAAAAAAATAAATTATGGCCAAATTAAATTTTTTAAAATCTTAAAATTTTAAAAAATAGATATAAAATTATGGAATTTGATATAAAGTTTTATCAAAACCACATTAAACATGAGTTAAAATATATCTAAAAGATAGATATAGAATTATGAAATTTGATTAAATATTCAAAATTAAAAATTTACTTTTAAAAAATAAAGAACTAACCATTATCCTTTAACGTTCTTTTCTTATATTTTATATTCTTTTGTTCTTTTGTTCTTCCTTTTTTCCCTTTACAGAAACAAATGCCTTTCAATCATGAAAGTTATCATATATAGTTTACACAAAGAATGTAGAATATTTAAAATTAGAAGGAAAAAAAGTAGAAATAATTTAATTTATTTTTTAATTTTTATGTTTACCCTTTTCTACTTTTCCCGTTCTCCCCTTTATTTCTCTTTTTCTCCTTTTATTTCTTAAGTATCTTTTTATTATTCTCTAACTGAATTACTCGGTTAACTCAGTTAAAGATTTTATTAATATAAAATAAATAAAAATAAAATATATAAAAGTATAGATTAAGATTATCCCAAAAGATCTTGGATATTGACGAGTGTCCTAATAATTTGGGTAGCCAAACTCTATCAACGTTTTTCTTTTCGTATTGTTTGATGCGTCTATCAACGTTGCATCATATCACACGTTTATATATGGATATCAAATATCAATATCTTCGTGTCTATATTAATTTTATGTAAATTGGGGCATCGACTGACAGTTCTACAACCTTCATTTTCATCCCTTTCTTTATCATCATGTTCGATTCTTTATCAGCCATGCGAGTGAGTCCTCTTCTTCCACGTTGGATTACTCGTAAAACGATAATGGATTCCCACATTTATGCACACACGAAGCTGGTGATGAAAGCTTTTCATCCCTACGCTCATTATATATATATATATACACACACATTGATGCATGCACCAAATGGCGAGAACGACTTGGGTGATTCCAAGGCTTTTGATGTTTGAAGCGGTTTAAAATAATTATTCTTTCTCTTAATAGTTGTTGAAAGAAGAAGAGAAAATGATAAGATTTATTAGATTTTTATTAATAATTTTCTAATTTAGAATTGTAGATTTTATAAATTTGTTCAAAGACGTGGGGAGAGTTGAAGAGTACGATCGAATAATAATCCAGTATAGAGGATAAGCCCATTTTAACAGAGGAGAATGATGTGGATTTGAGTGTGATTTTATGTGTTTAGTTTAATTTTAAGCTTCTATTACATACATGTGAAATTGATGATAGTTGTTAGTCTTATTAAAAAAAATTGCATACAATTAGAAGAAACTATAAAATGAGAATAGACTATATCACATACTCGATCACTGAAAAATAAAATAGGATCATATAAGAGAAGATTTCAAAAATCAAACCAGACAATTTGAAAAAAATTATAGGTAAAAACAATCAATTACCATTATCTATAATGAAAGATAAAAGCTATTAACACTAATATTAAAATGTATATGATAATAATGACACATTGACATATTAACTTTATCACGACTCAAATGTGTTATATATTTAGTTATTGTGAACATTTATCAAAAAATGAGAATCAATATGATGATCTAACAACATTAATCAAAAACATCGATAATGTCAAATATAACCTTGAAATCAAAAAACATCTTTAATGCATGCATATTGTATTTATATAGAGGGATGGATCAATTGGCTTGCATGGACGATCACCTCTAAAATTTTATAAGTTCAATTCCAACCCCAAGATTGCATCGTTTCACTAAAACAAACTTGCAGATTTTGACAAGGTACAAGGCGGCAGCAGGTTTCAGTTTCGTCCCATGTATGTTGGGCCTCACACTGCGGTCTAGAGAGAAGCTACGAATCATGAATCTTACTTTACTTTGTATCTTCTAGTTTTGAAATGTTTATATTTATATCATTTTCAGACGTGTTTTGAACAACGTCGTAACAACTGGTTGTTGAAACATGACCCGATTCAACAAACTAGAGAGTACAATACGTTTAAAGCTACACTTTTGCTTATACCATAAACATAACTCGTTTATTTTTTTCATCGAGATTAAGGTGTAATGCCAAATCACTTGATGAACTTTGAAACAATTAGACAAGCAAGAGATAAAATGAGTTGAAGGCTTGGAAGCATGCAGCCATCATACATTTCATCATATTAAACTTCTCCAGTATAATATAGAAGCCAAAATCAGTGGAAGCCTAGAAAAAAGAAGTAAATAAGAAACATGAAAGCAAGTTTCAAAAGCTAGATGTTTTTACCTCTAAAATTTACAGCCAACCAACAAGGTCTGATGGATTTGGTGCAAAGACAACAAACAACTCCGACACTAGCTTCCAGATTCCTTCTTCCCCCGAGCCTTCTTGAAGATGAGAAGTTGTGTAGATTGGAATAACATGTTTACCGGCATTGATTTTATTCTTGAGTCGCGATATAGAAGCAAAGAAAATACCATCCAGAAAGGGTCACTCTTCAACAACATTAACCAGTTCATATTCGATCAGTGACAGATTGTTATCTTCCTTCACTGAAAAACTAGCAGGTTCAGCAACCTCAATTCGACCCCACTTGTCCACGGCAAGCCTCATTGATCCCTTAAACATGTCGATTTTCGCATTGCGAAAAGTAACAGTACTGCCCTCTTTCATTAAGTCCACTACAGAAAACAAGACCGTGCTGTTAGTAGTTAAAACACCGTAAACAAATAAAACAAGTTTTGTCACCTTCATTATTTAGTAACATCACATGATGAATATTATGAGGAAGCTGTTGAAACCGTTTTAGGTTAGAAAATATTTTCTATTTAATCATTGTTCATCTGTCGAAAAAAATGGAGTATGTCGTCGATCATTTTAGGCCAAGTATAACCGAACATCTATAAAATCACATCTACATTTAAATCGAGAGTCAAAATTGAGTTAAGAAGTCGATTACGTGTGGGAAAAATTAAAGCAACCCACGACACCCAAAATTGGTAACTTTAAAATCACATCTATATTTTCTCTTTATTCTTGAGTGGGGATCGAGTAGATTTTTTTTGGGGGGGGGGAATGGGACAAGGTGACGTTGGGAAGCACAAATGCATTTCAAAGGCGGGAAATAAGGTCCAGTATAAGGTTTCACAAGGCATTGTAAAGAAACTTGGAGTCGAAGAATAGCTTAAATTACACATAATTGGATTAAATTACACAATTTTACACATAATTGGATTAAATAAGGTCCAATATAATGTTGATATACTTCGCTTCATTTTTTAAGTTAAAAGGATTAAATTACACATAATTGGAGTCAAAGAATAGCTTAAATTAGATCATATAGTACAGAGATTTCCCAAGCAATTTGACCGCCTTGTCAGATAAACTCTGCTAAAAGATTTTTTCCAATTCTAAATCATTACTAATTTACTTGAACAAGGCAATAAAAATATATAACCAAATCAAACACAATTTACTTTTGTGACTACATGTTAATATATGAAGCCAATGCAACATTGCACATCTAAAAGAAAATAGAGAAAAGACAATCAAACAAAAACTGATTAAATGCAACACAGCAAAAATGCATGGGAAGTGAAAACTCTTGCACCAACAAAAGTAAAAATATTGCATAGACAAAACTGAATTGGGAGAAACTATAAAGAATATACCTTGATCATTTCTAGCAGTAAAGATAATCATTCCTGTCTCATCTCCAACCAAGCATTCAGCAATCCGCATTTGACGAACTTGAGGACCATCAGCACGACCCTTCTGCAACACCATTTTTGTACTGACAACTTTGACAGTAAGCGTGTGACCAGTAGTGCCAGGGCGAAGTTGGTCAACCTTGGTGAATACAGGTTTTCTCAAAGGTTTTGATTCCGCCATTTCAATACCTTGAGAAAAAGCATAGAGATATAAATCATCAGCAAAACTACAACCAAAAAACAGCTTAGAGAAGAAAAGAATATGCATTATAAAATAAACCACCCAATTACAGCAGATGATATACTACATTTCAAATCCAAAACGGTATGAAGCTCTAATTGATTGTTTTAACAAAACTTATGGTCTAAACAATTCTGTTGACAAAAAAAAGGGAGTTAATTTAGCATTGAAAGGAAATACTTCGATCTGTCATCTGTGCAGCTCGAAATTCAATCTATAGGAACCATAACTCCAACCCTAATTAGTAATTTCAGATTATAACAGTAAAACCCCTAACTTTTGCCTAAAATTACAGATTTACATAGAGAAACACACAGAAAACTGACATACATGAATCAGATCTAACGAATCAATCTCCTCTGATTTTCGTTTCTATAATTTAAGAGAATCGTAGCAAACCAGTGTAAATGTTTCAAATGAAAAGGCACACGATTTTTTTTATAAAAAATAAGAAGAAGGAAAAAATATGTAAATCGGGAAGAACGTGGATATAAAAGAACAATGGCTAGAGTTGAAACAATATATATATTTAGGGTTCAACGTTACCTTCGGAAATCTGGCGAGCGAAATCCAAGTAACTGAGATAAGGAGAGAAGACTAAACAGAGAGATCTGTTCGGATTCTGAAATACGGTTTACTAGTTTGCGCAGTCAAAGGTTTTCATACTCGTCGATGTACATTGTTGATCTTCGATAAGATTTGTGCAAATCGTAGCCGTACACGTTAGCATCTTCCTTTCTTTGGTTTTCGAAACAGGAAACGGTGTCGTGTTAGGAGTTTTACTTGTTTCGTTTCTTTCAATTCCTTAATCAGTAGATTATGTAATTATCCATATTTAATAATGATAATTTTATTTAATTTCATTTTTTAAAGATTTTTTAAATTTAAAACTCTAGTCCAACTTTACATTATGTTTAGATGAATAATTATAAGATTCTTTTTACAAATAAAATTATTATATTGTATTATTAGATTTATTATACTTAATTATTTGATTCATTTAGTTGTAATTAAAGATTTTGGTATTTAGTTGATATCGTTTTATTAAATTATTATTTTGATAATATTTTATTAAATAAATTTAATCTTTAACATTAAATTGAAAGATATTAATATGGAAGTTCATGAACTCTTAATTTTGATTGGAGTTCACATAAATTTTACATTTAACGTATTATTAATATATTAAATAACATTTTAAAAAATCACATATATATTTTTGTATGTATATATATATATATCTTATTGAGACCCGTCCATTTGCATGTGTACTATATGACACGTTACATGATCTTAAATTTGAGGATCCACATACGAATGTCATTCAGGTTCGTCCATATACAATTTTTTTGTCTTAACAGATTTTTCGTTCAAAGGGAAAATATATTTTCTGTTTGGTTTTCAGAAAAGTATCAGATAAAATTATAAACGAAGATTTTGATAGTATCTTTAACCGTTTCTATAATGAATTTTGGTAAAAAGACCTTGTAGATTGCTCATAATTTAAATTTTAACAAATTAATCTTAATTATAAAATATTTTAGGGGCCTCATTTTAGAAAGTAGCACGGGGCCTACTTATTTTTAGGACGGGCCTGATCTTAACATATATCAGTATATTTTATAGAGTTAGTATCTACTTACACAATGTAAAACTCTTTAGTTTTACATAGATTTTGGATCATTAGATGAGTGAAAATAGATGGCTGAGATTGACTCATTTTTCCCCCTAGGGAATATCTTTATATTTCTTATTGTTAATCACATTCATCTATTTTCACTCATCCAACGGTCATCAAAACTAAAAGAGTTTTACATTGTGTAACCTAATTTTATTTATATTTTATAAACGTATATATGTCTAATTTGTGATCTAGATTATTTAGATGATGGATTTAGTTATCATTTAGCGCATCAAATTCTTTGACATATTTGGATTAAAGGCTTATATTTTGCATGTTAGTATTTAGTGTTATAATGGTCAAGATCAAGGGCACGGCACTAAGCAAAAGGGGCTTGAGGGTTTAGAGACTAATCTTGAATAGTGGGGGATGATAATAATTGTGTTTGAATGGATTGGGTTTGGAATATTGATTAGTTTAACACGATGATGACACTGTCGATTGATTTAATAGGATGTTGTTAATGCTACTAATAACAATGATGATTATAAACGAATGTGATGATGGGGTTAAATGGAGTGAGTTGTAAGTGTTGAATTGTCCGTTTAGTTCAGTTGGTAGAGCGCAAGGCTCTTAATCTTGTAGTCGTGAGATCGAGTCCCACTGAGGGCAAATTCATAACGAAGGTCTTTCACGGAAGCTGCACTCAACCTGGCGTTGAGGGCAGCCTACTACCCTACTTCCCTTTTACTCCATTAGATATGGAAATAGGATCAGTTAGTTTTCAATGGCGAACGAAGGTGATAATGGGGGCTGGCCTCGGAGTGAGCATGGTTGCCTGAGACAATATCACGGATGATTGAAGGCATCCACAATAGTAGAGGCTAGGGTTTAGATTACATAAGAAAGGAAGTAGGCTTTTTTTTTGAAATTTAGATAAAATTAATATTTTTTATCTAAAATTAATGAGTTACCTACCAAGTCGATAAGCATAAATGATTGTCACGTTACTTTTTAAAATTTTGCGATTAAAATAAGAAAAAAAATCCAAACAAGTTACAAAAGTGACTCCAATGTAGTTTACCCTTTATTAATTTATATTCATTTTGCACTACACTTCAGAAAATTTTAAAATATTGGTTAATATTATATTAAAACTAAATAAAATCAAATAAATAGATAAATTTCAGTTTTGAAGAAAATACTTAAATTATTTATTAATTATAAAAAATATTTATGTTATATTATTATTCTCATAAAATTAAAATTTTGAATAGATAATGTTTGATAAATATTATATTAGATATACCGATAAAATCACTTTCAACATTTGTCTAAATGATCATTTTAGTTTCTGTTTTTTCAGCATTTTAATTACGACATTTTAATTTTTGATCAAAATATCTTATGTTAAAAAATCGTAATTAGATAACAAATAATACATATTGTTGATATGCCAATTTTACACGTGCTTAATTATTAATGTAATATGTGATATATATAATATAATTAGATTTAACGTAGTGTGAAAAATCCTAGTTGAGAAAATGGAATTTGGTAATGCGTCTTTGGATATAGGATTAGATGTAACGTGAACAAATCATCCAAGTTGAGAAAATGGAATTTGGTAGGGCGTCTTTGGCTATTAAAGTCTTTTACCTTTTCTAATATTTTATTTCATAAAAGGATCCTTTTACTTTGTAGTGCAATTCTACCATAAAAAGAAAAATCAACAAAATTGTAGTTTATTCATACCTAACACGGCCACTTCCTTTTTGTCCATTTTCCAAAGGTTATTCGTTAGGATCCCACCACGACTCCTAAATTCTGTTCGGCCGGCGGCTGTGTTTGGGTTGGTGCACCAACAGCGCCTTTTGAAGGTTGATTTTTAGTATCGGATCCATATTAGGGTAAATTTCTCCGAATGCTTTTGAATTTTTGGGTTTATATTAATTTTATCATTAACTTTTACAAATATTGTTTTAATTTAATATATAGTATTAGACTGTTAAATTATTAATAGTAGTTTTAGGCAATGTTTTTAAAACCGGATCGGACCTTGAACAAAATCATAACATATTATAACATATATAAGTTAAAAAACATAAAATCAAGTGAAACAAAATGATTCAAATCAACTACAACATAATATTTAAGGTAAAAAATATTAAATAATAAATAAAAGTATATAACTATAATCAAAAAATAAATTTGGGGTTGAAAAAAATAATAACAAACGATGTTGTTTGGTTTAATTTTTTTTTAAAAAGACAATCCTACATGGCTAAGAAACATAGAAGAGCATCCAAAAAGTCTAAAGAGCAAAAATATGAGAACAAAACAATCCCACATGGCTAAGAAACATAGAAGAGCATCCTAACTGACTTCTATAAATACTAGAGGTAATTTGACATTCAAAATCATGGAGCCTTTTGGTGAGCACAAAGCGAACTATTCTTTTGCTTTAATTGAGCTCGAATTTCAGGCTTCAATCGAGTTTGTAATTTTTTTTTGAGTTCGAGCCTTTTCGAGTTTAAGTTTCAATATTATATTTCGAGTTCGAGTTGAACTTGATAATTTTTAGCTCGTGAGTTTCTTAGTCGACTTGAGCTTACTTTTAAAGTTTTCGAGTTCGAGTCGAGCTCAGCAGTACTCAAGTTTGACTCGGCTCGTTTAACAAATGAAGTCGTTTGGTTTAATTTTTTTTAAAGAAAAAAAAAGAGAACCGACGGTTCACACCGGGTTTCAGCCGGTTCACCCCGGTTTTACCGGTTCTCAGCCGGTTTTGAAAGTTAACCGGATTAGACAGGTCATCGATTCACGGTTCAATCGGTCGAACCAATCGGTCCGATCCAATTTTAATAACATTGATTTTAGGTGATAGTTTGGTGCTGACATGGTATTGACTTGGAAACTAAAAAATAAATATTTTATTTCATTTTATTATTTTTCATCAAAGTTAGGGATTTTCACTTGCTTTTATGTGGTCAAAATTGTCACTCTCTTACATCTATTACGATCACCTTAAACACCGATGAACTCATTTTATCATACTTTATTATTATTTTTTTTAATTTTTTTTAAAATATTTTTTAACTCAAAAAACTAAACTAATATATATATATATATATATATATATTTGGAGGTTTGAAGCTTTCTTGTTTTTTAGATGTTTGAAAATTTAAACGGTAAAAATGTTTTTTAAAAAGACTGAACAATTTATTTTAAAACTAGTTTCATCGGAAGACCGTTAAAGGTGATTGAAGTATTAGAATGTGGAACCTTTAAATACATTTTCTATAATTTCGATGAATTTTATAAAATATCAATATAAGAAGAAAAAAAAGAAATGAAGTATAAGTATTTTGATACTGCTATTCGTATATAGAGGGGAGTGAAATGTATATAAATTTAAAATTCCTATGAAAAGGAAAAATGAAAAGAAAAAAGGTCTCTTTGTTGAAGTATGGTTTATTTACGAAACTATTATCAAGGGGTCAACGTACACGGTCAATACAACATACATCGGAGTTCTTATCTGGGTTAGCTTCAGTCGTGCGTATTCATTATAAATACTCCCTTCTTCCTTTCAAATCCCATGTGCCAAAACAACTTTCTTCTTCCCTAAAACTCTATCAGCTATGGCAACATCCGAAAGCACAGTTAAAATATATGAGATCACTCGAGTCACCCCTTCACCCGATTCACCAAACTCAGCCAACGAGTTCAGCCTCCCAGTCACTTTCTTCGATACGTATTGGTTCAAGTTCCCTCCCGTTCAAAGCCTATACTTGTACCAACTCAGTGAGTCCCATTCCACACTTTCCTATTTCAACTCAGAAATCCTCCCCCGACTGAAGCAATCTCTTTCTTTCGCACTTTCTCACTACCTTCCGATAGCCGGCTACCTGAAATGGCCATCGAACGCCTCCAAACCCGTCGTGTCATACACTCCCAACGACAGTGTTAGTCTCACGGTTGCTGTATCAAACGTAGCCAACTTTGATACCTTAATCAGCAATGAAATGCATAAGGCAAATGAGTTGCATCCTTTGGCACCTCAGTTGATTTTGTCCGACGATAAAGCGGAAATACTCGCTTTGCAAATAACACTATTCCCGGGTCGAGGATTTTGCATCGGCACAGCGGCGCACCATGCGGTTTTCGACGGAAAAATCGCGAGCATGTTTATGAGGTCATGGGCTTATCTATGCAAATATGATAATACTAATAACGAATTGCCACCCGATCTAACCCCATCATTCGATAGGAGTATCATCAAAGATCCATCGGGACTGGACACACTTTTCTTGAATCAATGGCGAGATATTTTCGCTGAGTATCAAGTGTCCAATACGAGAAGTTTCAGAATCCCGGACGAGTTCGATCCGATCTCCGACGACGTTGTCCGAGCCACGTTCAAGTTTAGTAACAAAGACATCAATGGACTCAGAAAGAAGGCCACCAATGGGGAAATGAAACAACAACTTTACCTCTCGAGTTTCGTCCTCACGCTTGCTTACACAACAACCTGTCTAGTTAAAACAAAAGGAGAAGGCCAAAGAGACGTCGTCATCGACTTCGGAGTCGATTGCAGGGCTCGTCTGGACCCTCCGGCTCCGCCGACGTACTTCGGTAACTGCGTCGTGAATTATTCGAACTCTGCGGAAGCAGGGAAGTTCATGGGAGAAGAGGGTTTCGCCTTTGCTATAGATATGGTGAGTGAATTGGTGCAGAAGGTGAAAAGGGGTGTTCTTGAAGGTGCTGAAATGAAGGTTACGAATTTTTACGCTCCAAAATTACCTGGTACGCAGTTAATCATCGTTGCTGGATCACCCAAATTGAATGTCTACGAGGCGGATTTCGGACTGAATAGTACGATCAAGAAGGTGGAGATTGTGTCCATTGAGAGGGATGAAGCTGTTTTCATGGCGGAGAGTAAAGGTGGAAATGGAGGAGTTGAGGTTGGTTTGGCATTGAAGAAGCATGAAATGGAGAAATTTGCTGCTTTGTTTTCTGTTGGATTAACAAGCCTCCATTAACGTTTGATATCATTGTTTTAACATTATAATAGGTTTTGGCGTTATTTTATGAAAGCATCAATCTTAATGTTATTGAATGTGCAATTTATAAAAGAAGAAGCTATACTATATATTGTTCTATAACTGGCTGTACGCTATAACTAGCTCGGTGTTAAGCCGACTCACAAAACAGTTCTTAAGCATAATATATTTAAATCAAAAAGTTTCTTATCATGTTATCTAATTATGATCAAATCGCTAAAGATCATTTACATCATCTTTTTTCTTCACCTCCTTAATTCACTTATAATTTACTCCAAGTAACCACCTACTTCCATATTTACATGAAAAAATTAATTATGGCAGTAAAATTTTCAAATTTTAGTTAAGAATTAACTTATGACCTTACTACTCCTTTTATTTTATTTGATATTGTTATCCTGCATGACTTCGAGAATTATAATGATATTGTTTTACGTGGCTTGCGAGCAGCGGCGGATCCAGAAATTTAAGAATGGAGGTCCAAAATTTTAATTTTTTTTCTTAAAAATAATGGGTATGTAAAAATTGTAATTTTGTTTCTTTTTTCCTTAATACATTAAATTAAATTTAACCAAATTTCTAAAATAATGAGGATGCACTTGGCCCCTATCCTCTGCTTGCGAGGGAAATTCTGAGGCATGAGTACAAGATCCTTTATATGTAATACCCACTGTTCATGTAATTTGGATCCCCACTTTAGATAACCTGAATCGAGGAGGGTGTTGGGTTGCGGGCGCATCTCTTAGAAATTTTAAATTCCTTTATATATGAGGTATTTTTATTATATTTTATATGAATTATTTGATTTCACATCCCTTGAAATTTTATAATCTCGTAGATTAAATTTTTAATATAATTGTTTATATTTGTACTCTTGACAAAAATTACTGCGTCCGTCCATGCCACCTGATGAAGCTTTTTATTGGAGGGACCTGACTTAGAATATCACTTACTCTGTGTTTACTAGTGTTACTATTCAAAAAAAATGATGTATGTTATTTTTAGCGGTGGTTAGAATCATAAACGACGGAATAAAAAAGGTTTATATAATAATTTCTCGCTTTCAAAGGCTTCAATCTAAAGTGACTGGCATTTAGAAGATTTAAGCAAAAGGTGCAGAGTGAAGCAAACAGTACCGCACAAACCGCCCCTAAAGGAGCAATCGTCATTGAAATCCCTTTTGGTGCTAAAATTTGATCCATCTTTCCCAATATCGCCATTGCAGCGTACGCTCCTGTGCATTAAAATTATCATACATTGGTCTTCACAACTTGATTAATCAACAACGTCTAACTCCTTAATCACTCCCTCAATTTGCATTGTTCTTGAGAATCTTAATTTTTCAGCAGTGAACTAACCTGCAGAAGGCCAAAGGATGCCGCTGAGTGAAGGAGCCGAATAATTTTTCTGAGGTTTCCATGAATCCCAGAGATCAGAAGCCGCGACGTTGCCGCTTGAAGCAACAACCACCGCGTATTCTCCTCCTCTGTTTTTTCTCAAGCTTCCTGTCGATTTTCTTTCAAACACAAGAGATCTCTCCAGAGCAATCTTCTTGTTTCTGAAGAAACTATGATTTCCTCTGAGCAACAATGGAGAGAGTGAGTTCAAAGATGTTGACGGTGTTGATACCGCAATGACATTGCTTTGATGATAATAGTGATTGGCCATCTCTTAGTTCTCTCAATTCCGCCGCCGCCGTCGTTTCCCCTAATTTGTGCTACTTCACAAACACGTTTTAGTTTCCTGGAAATGAAACCCCAAAGTTATTAAGGAGGTTATTGAGGAGATACAAACGCCAAAGTTATCTTACTACTCTCATATACTGACAGAGAGACAACTTTCAAGGTCACAATATTTTCCATACATGTGGTGTAAACGAACCGAGTTTTAACGAATAAGGTTGTGTTCATGTTTGTTTGTTTGTTTCTAAAGGTGTACATGTTTGACATGTATTTGTTTAAATTTTACATATCACGTTTGTGTTCCTTTGTCTACTTTTGAAGGTATTGTGTTTAGTTCATTTAGCGTGTGTAGATATATTTATTTAATATTTATGAATATTTTCGTTTAGTGTTCGTGAACGTAGTAGTTACACAATTTTCTCTTCTATTTGCAAGTCAAAGAAAAATGGAGAAATTACACCGTTAGTCCTTAACCTCCTTAGGCTTGACAGTTTGAATTTCAAAATTCATCCTATGATCAATTTAGTCCCTAACTTGACCAATATTTAAAATGTAAAAAGAAAGAAAAGAAAAAGAAGAATCAGGTAAAAGAGTTTATAAACGAGTCAATAAATGAACTTATAAATGAGTTAGTTAGTGAATATAAACGAACCAAACACAACTTTGTTCATGTTCGTTTATTAAATTAATATAAAAATTTTGTTGATACTCGTTTATTTAACTTTATAAACAAACATTATATGAACAATTAAACGAACGTTCTGTTTATTTACATCCCTACCATACATATCAATAGAGCTGACTGAATCTGAACACTCCCTGAATCCAACCATGTTTTCGTAAAAAAACTAATCCTCCTATATAATAGAAGATCATCAGACAACAAATCATTCTTGACAAAAAAAAAACAAAAAACAACAAAAATGATTGAATCCCATGATATGAAATTCCAAACAGCTAAATGCCGCTAAGCCATTTTATCAAACAACTTCAAAGCAACGCCATACAGTTTCATATGCAGTTAAGACAGATAAAGAGTCAGGTACATTTTGACATACCATATAACTATCGATTTGATTGAAATATTTTATTCATGAATTGATTTACACATGAAGATCACGCATTATTGTTATCAAGGTTGAACTAACCTTATCCATTGAACACACATTCTTGGATGTCAAGTTCTTTTAGCTATTTTAGCTTATCAGACTTGAAAACAGGCTGAGAAATAAAGCTGAGGGCGGCTTTCGATCTTTGCTTTCGCTGCAATAAACGTGAAAAAAGACATTACATCAAAATGCCGACCAAATCCAAGAACAAGAGTCAAGATTCAATAAGAAATGTAAGAAGAAACTTGCCGATTATGCAAGTTTAATGCACCTACTTTTCCCATTTTTAAAGTATAATGCAACAGTTTCGTTACATTAAATTAAACCCACTTATCAAATGCAATTTCATCAAAGAGAAGACAAGTTATATGTGAAGTAATGGCAAAGAATGGAGAAATTAAAGTGTTGTGGTTAGATTTGTTAATTAACTTGAATTTCAATGTTAATTTAATTTAATCTGTATTTAAAATTAGAACTAAATTTAATTTGATTTAATTAAAAAATCAATAATTTGAATTAAATTATTGGAGAGAAAAGGACGAAGATATTGTCGTTTCTAGTTTGGTATGTTCTGCTCCGCTGAAAGTAGTTTTTGGGAGCTATGTGTGAAAATGTCATATGTCCATACGTATACAATGCTAATATTTGCATAACACGGGATGACAACACACACACACACACGAGAGGTTCATGTGATTCAATTTGATAAGGTTAGTTTTTTTTTTTATAAAATTCATTTTTATTTCGGATCGAATTTAGATTTAAGAAAGATTCATTTCACTTAATCTCATTCTAGAATAATTATGAAAATATATATTTATATATATTATTAATTATTTTTTAATAAAAAAATTTTAAAACTTAGTACTAGAATTCTAATTATAATATTATATTAGAATTTATTTTGATTTTATGTTAATTAAATTGAATAAAATAATATTTTAATCAATTATTTTTTATTCTGATAAAAAATTATGTTAAATACAATTAGTTCAAATTTTTATTTTTAATTAAAATTTAAAGTGGAATTGAAAAAATAAAAATATTGTTAAATTCAGATCAGATTGAAATCAAGTTTGGTTGTTAGAGTGTTGGGTCGGGTTCGGACAAACCGAACCAGACAAGTACATCGAACTTTGGGTAACTTTCGGTGTGGTGTTGGCCTTCTCGGTATGGATCCAATGTCTCAGTTCCATTACTTATTCATCAAGGAAAAAGCCCAAAGAGAAAATGGTATTCATGTAAATATTTAGAAAAGGAAGCATTCAGATTGCGGGAATCGAAGGGTTGGTACTGGCGCCGAGTTTTGGAGGTAAAAAGTGACAAACAATTTCCAATATGCCTCGTTACAAAGATGACCAGCCGGCGGTTAGAGTCTACACAGTCTGCGACGAATCCAGGTGAATCCTTTCACTGTTCAATCTCCACTTGTTTCGTCGATAATTTTTTTTTTACTAATGTAGTTGAAGAATGTGAAGCTCGTTTAATTCATCATCAAAATCACCAGAAAGCCCTAAAACTGAAATAGTTGAGGCCGAAAACTAGCTTACTAGAAACAAAAAATTATCCCTTTTAAAAGAAAATTGAATGTGTTGGTCGATAGATATTTGATTGTGAGGAACGTTCCCGCGTTGGGATGTGGCGATGATTTGTTGAAACTCTTTGCTAATTACGGAGACGTTGAAGAGTAAGTAAGTTCTCATTCCATTTAATTTTACCTTTTGTTCGCTTTCTATTTTTTATTATTTGAATTTTGATGATGCCTATGGTCCATTTTTGTTTTGCCTTTCAGATGTAAACCAATGGATGCAGAAGATTGTGAGCAGTTTACCGATGTTTATTGGATCAAATTTCGACTCATCAGCAATGCCAGGTTTTTAAACTTGATCGTTTTAACATTTTTAATCTATAACTATCACACTTTCATGTACTTGGTTGAGAATATACTGCTGCTGGAAAGCTCTTTTGTAGTGGTGACCATGCAGATTGGTGATAACTGAGTTTATATTCTATTAACTATAAAACGTCATATAGGTTTGCGAAGAGAAAATTGGACGAGTTTGTCTTCTTGGGGAACCATTTGCAGGTCTCATATGCTCCTGAATTTGAGAGCCTTGATGACACGAAGGATAAGTTAGAAGGCAGAAGAAAAGAAATCCTCGCAAGATTGAATCGTAAGCTTTTATATTATTCTAAAAAGTTAGCATTTTAGTGTAGCTATCTTTATTTATAAATGCAAAAAAGAATTTACATGTTTCAAATAGAACTGTTTGCTAGTTGTGATTAAATATTCTCACATATTTTATGTCGTTATGTTGTGATATCAGCTCAAAGATCTAAGGGGCAACCAGTTCATCCCCTGCTCCCTTCCAATGAAGCTCCATCACTTTCGGCTTCATCTCATCATATTCCTAATCAGATAAATTCTAGGTTGAGGTAGTACTTTGTTGAAATTCGTACTGCCATCTTCATCATTGTTGCCTTTTTTGCATTCTTTATCAGCATAAACTGTTGTTTCTCCTCTTGATAGGAATTTTGGAGATTCAGAGTACGAGTCTCACAGTAAGAATGCTCCTATAACAAGAGTTTCATCTGACCAGGTCTGGATTACTTTTTAAGAACGCTGTCCCATGCTTTGACTTATTTTCTGTTTGAATATAAAACTGAGCTCCTTTTCTTTCTCTCTTCTTTCTTTATTACTATTTGACTTGCGAACTTTACTAGCAGTCCATGGTAACTCAGTAGTTGTTTGAGTATAAGATGAAGTAAGTTGTAAGGCTAAGCTTATAGCTTAACCAACTTTCAGTTGCTGACCCAAGTTGGATGAATTTAGAACAGAATACATGTCACTCGAGTATTTTACTATATTCTTTTATTGTGCATCTGTCCTAATTCTTATTGAGATAACCTAATATGTTTGAAACACTAGAGGAAAAAATGTAACATCTTTTGTGATTAGTGTAATTTTAATATAGATATGTGTTAGTTCACTGTTTGCATGTTCTCACTTTCACCCCTGCTTTATTTACTTTTTCTATAATTCTTTAATTACAAGCCATTTCTTTCTCTTCCATGGCTAGTTAGTTTTTCATACCTTGGTTTCTTAATGTATGGAAGAAATTCTACATATAAGTTTTACTTGGAGAAAGAAATGTCACGGAAGTTTTCCCCTTCAGCCATTATACCCAAATTAACTATCCAACAGTTGAAGATTCTTGCATTAAAAAATTTTGAATGCCGGTTGTATAACTCTCTTTATCCTTATATTTTCTGGGTAGTGAGCCTAATACCTGTCAGTATTTTCATTTTCACTCTGCTCTTATTTTGGTTTTTTTTAATAATTAATAGTATTATCCTAGTGTTATAGGTGGCAATGTCTAATTAAGATTGAATGTCGGCGTCATCTGGTTAGAATTAGTTTATACCTTCTGTCAGTATTTTGATTTATCCCTTTTTTCGTTACTCTATTTGAATCTTTTGGAGTTGGAAGTTCAGATGTTTATACATGATTGTGGGGTTTGTCTGATAATCATTTGCTCTTTGCTGATATCGGGACTGCTTTCAGGAGTACTTCCCCTCCCAGTCAATGAATCAGACAGTTAAAACGGTCAGGGAGAAACTCAATAAGGTGATAAATCTCTGAACAACATGATTTTCTTGTCTTTGGGAATTATATAAAGTAGTTATTTTATATTTTCTTAGTAATATAACATCCCCCCTATTTTCCGTATTTGCTTGCTTTAGATTCAATCAAACACCGAGCATTTGCAAGCTGGACCTACTCCCAAAAAACCACGAGTGGACAATAGAAGAAGAATCTGATCATACTTACTTTTGGGCCGAGTATGCTAAAGTACGACATGTTAATTTCATGTTTGATATTTCTAGTTAAATAAAACCAATCACTTTGGCATTGAAATTTTCATTTTTCTTTGAACACTTGTGTTGAACACGAACATATACCTGTATCCTAACATAAGCATATTTGTATCAATCATATACCTGTATCTTCTTTTTGGGTATTTGAAAACATTGTTGATGTGGCCCATGTACCACGTATTTCTCGAGTAGATTTCGTATAAAGATCATATTTTTTTTATTTTTAGGGCTTGAGCTTGAGCATATGGTATTGAAAAGGGAAATATCTGATAAGGTGAAGGTGATGAAATTGAGTACCTTAAACATATATTACGTGAACCAATATCATTCTATACAACCATAGAAATAATATTGGAACAAACCGAGTCAAAATACAACAAAAAACTAGAGCGAATCACCCAAGAAGCCAACTCTTGGGCCACAACATTACAATCACGAGGAACATAACGAATTACATAATCCTTATGACTAGCCAAAATCCTACAATCATCCTGAAGATGGAAACTCAAAGTAGACAAGTCTTCCGCAGTACAAGTAACTTTATTGACCAACAAAGCAGAGTCAGTCTCAAAAAGCACCTTGGACCAAGAGTTATCCTGTGCCGAACGTAGTCCTGCAATAAAGGCATGGATCTTCGCCAGCCCTGCCTCGCCACATCCTGGGACCGAAGCTATGCCTCCTAAAACCTGGCCAGAAGAATCACGGGCTACGACCCCAACCACAACCATACGACTGAAGGAGTCAAAAACTCCATCCTCATTAATCTTGATAGTCCCCGGAAGAGGTGGCCGCCAAGTCGTTGTCGCAGATGGAGGATTGGAAGTCTGGCCGGAAGAAAGTATAGGCCGAGAGATAGTATTGCCAGTCATTCGTGCTAGAAGAAACTCTTTATGTAACAGATTTGCATGCATAGCTAATACCCATGAAGGTCGAAACGTATTCGCATGGACCTTTGCATTTCGGCCATTCCACACATTCCAAAGAAACGTGCAAGACAGTCCACATCCATCAGCACCATTAAGGTCTAAAACCATAAAAGCGGCGACGCAGCCGGACAAGATACAACAGCCCTAGAAAAACCACCCGCTAACAAAGTGTCCCTAGCATACCAGCAGTCTCTTAAGGCATGAACAACAATTTCCTCAGCTCTAAGGCAGATAGGACAAATCCCCTCATCGATTCCCCTAACCCGTAGACGCACCCCTACCGAGAGACCACCATGAACAGCATGCTAGGCAAAAATACGAATTTTAGGGAGGACTTGCAGTTTGTAGATTAACTTCCACACTCTAGAAGAATTTTCAAGCCTGGGGACATTACTACAAAGCCACCAATAACCCGATCGCACAGAATAACGTCCTAAATCATGATAGCCCCAAATTAATGGCTCATCAGTTACCGGCGCAATCACAGTGGAGAGAATCAGCTCGGCATCCAGAGGAGAAAAAGTGGTTCGTACCTTCGTTTCATCCCAAATAGGAGAAGCAGGTAACATGAAGTCACGTCCAGATAACTCCAAGTGAGGCGCATCAGTATAGTCACCGGTTAAAGTAACAATCATTGACCCACCCCTTTTATCATTAATTAAATTCAAAGAACTATCTATATCGATACGTCCGTAAAGACAACCCGAAAGGTCTTGAAGAGTTTTATAAATCCCCTTCCAAGCGTACGAGCTATTGTTGCCCAATTTGGCACCAAGAATATTCCCACGAGGAAAATACTTTGCACGCAAAACTCGAGACAGAAGGCAAGTTGGGTTTGTGGCTAATCTCCAAACCTGTTTACCAACTAATGCCATATTAAAGGAGGCAAAATCCCCAAGACCAAGTCCCCCAAGACGTTTGGGCGAACAAATAGTATCCCAGGCAATCATCGGCCAGCCACGGCTAGAAGCCTCCCTAGACCATCAGTATCGGCGCATGGCAGCCGTCATCTCATCAAGAAGATGATATGAAAGCAGATAAAAGGACATAGCATATTGTAGTAACGCCTGCGCGACTGATTTAAGAAAAACTTCATGTCCCCAAAACGACAACAATCGCTTAGTCCAACCAGTAATTCTAGTAAGCAATTTATCCTGTAAATAACCAGAAGTTTGAGTCTTGTTTTTACAGATATGAAGGGGGAGTCCAAGATAGTGACCCAAAGTATCAACAGCTCGAATGCCAAATAGTGTTGTCATCCTTTGCAGATGAGCAACCGTTGTAGAAGGGTTTAAATATACGTAATAATTTGATACTTTTGAAAGTATGTCTGCTGAGGTAGTGGACGTTTTCTTCAAGCAATTGGGTTCTGCTGATAGTCATGTGAGGGGTGGTGATCCTGGTTTATTGAAGGAACTTCTTCAGTTTGTCTTGCCTCAGGGGCTTCGGATGTGTTAAGCTGGGACATTACTGATATGGAGATAAAGGATGCTATTTGGAGTCAGGGGAAGGATAAAGCCCTTGGTCCGGATGTCTATACGGGTTATTTTTTTCAAGGTTGCCTGGCTTATTGTTGGAAATGATTTCCTTGTTGCAATAAGGTATTTCTTTGATACATCCTCTCTGCTTCATGCTTTCAACTCTACTGCAGTGGTCCTTGTCCCGAAAATTCCTAACCCTGCTGTGGTCAAGGACTTTCGCCCTATATTTTGCTGCTCGGTGGTGTACAAGACTATAACCAAAATCTTAGTTAATTGGTTGTCCCCTATCTTTGCTGGAATGATAGCTCTTTACAAACTGCATTTGTGAAAGGGCGTAGCATTGTTGACAATACGTTGCTTGCTCAGTAGATCGTAAGAAGCTATGATAGGAAGAATATTTCTCCTCGGTGTGCTTTGAAGATTGATCTTCAAAAGACTTTCGATTCTCTTTCTTGGGAGTTTGTGCGGAGCATTCTTCTTGCTCTGGACTTCCTCAAAGATATATTGACTAGATTTGGGCTTGCTTGTCAACTCCAAGATTTGTTTTTAATGGGAGCCTTGTGGGATATTTTCGAGCGCGAGGCATCAGGCAGAGAGATAGGTTATCTCCCTATATTTTTGTCCTAGCTATGAATGTCCTTTTTTGTATGCTTAATTTGGTTGCTGTGAAAGGGAATTTTAACTATCATCCAAAGTGCAAAAAAATTGGACTCACTCATCTCTGCTTTGCGGATGATTTGCTCAGTTTTTGTAAGGGGAATGTGGAGTATATTGTTGGAGTGCAATGTATTTTGGATCAGTTCTATACTATGTCTGGATTGAGATTGAATGCTGCTAAGAGTGAAATCTTTATAGCTGGAGTTAGTACTGCTCAATGTGATCATATCAGGGATGTTACTGGTTTTAAGTTAGGCAAATTGCTTGTGAGGTACCTTGGTGTGCCTTTGGTCACAAGGAAGCTTACGGAGAAGGATTGTAGTGGGCTCATTGATAAAGTTAAAGAAAAAATGAACTCTTGAGAGAACAGACATCTTAGTTTTGCTGGTAGATTGCAGCTTATAAGGGCAGTCTTTTTTAGCATTGAGCTATTGATGTAGACAACTCGTCTTACCTCAGGCTGTCATTAAAAGAATTGAGCAACTTTGTGCTCGATTTTTCTAGAAATGAGCTGATACTGCTGCAAGGGGGCAAGGATTAGTTGGTGGCAGATTTTTTTTTTTGCGGTCTGAGGGTGGGCTTGGTGGAATAAGGCTTGTCTCCTCCATTTGATCAAGAACATATTAGCTGGTGAGGGTTCTTTGTGGGTAGCTTGGATTCAAGCATATGTTTTGAAGAATGAAAATTTATGGCAGGTTGTAACCCCTATTAATGTTAGTTTGAAGTTGCGACCGAAGGCGTTTCAGTTATTTGGGGGAATGCGTGGTGGAGATAGCCTCAAGGCTTGCTGTATTTGGAGGGAGATTCGAGTGCTGCAGCCTAAGGTACCTTGGCATAAACTTGCTTGGTCTGGGGGCATATTCCTAAGCATGGCATTATGTCTGGATGGCCATTCTTGACAGACTTCCTACACGTGAGAGGTTATTGCGAATGGGGATTCACGTGGACAGTGGGCTATGTGTTATTTGTGGTAGTGAGATTGAAACTAGGTGTCATCTTTTCTTTGGTTGCGTGTATGCAAAGCAGCTATGGGGGGCTATTCTGCGTCTTTGTGGTCTCTCCAAGGACGTTGGAAACTGAGGACAGGAGTTAGAATGGGCTTTATTGTACTTGAAGGAAAAATCTTTGCTTGTTTTGATTTTTAAACCGGCTTGGGGCTGCCATGTTTACTGTTTGTGGAAGGAAAGAAATTTCAGGTATTTTCGATCGTGTCTATTTCCATCATTTTTTAGCATTAAACTAGGCTTTTTTTTAGACTTTCGCTAGAAGGGTCGGGTCAAGTTATCAATTTATATAAACTTAAGTTGAATATTATATTTTTCATTTATCATTTGATTCGATCCGAGTTTAAGAAGGTTTCACCTTACTCAAAATTTTTTTTACCTAAAATTCATACTCGACCTGATCAGACACAAAGGCATATATAATTTCCATCTTTATTCGGTAAAATATAAACCTAATTGAAAAATATAAACACATGCATATTATTACAACTATCCCTAAGTATACAAGAGATAATTACACTATCATCGCAAATTAAGATTTTTTTTTACTCTAAATTCGAACTCGACCAAACCCAATTTACCTTTTAAAAAAACTCAACACAACTTTATTCAATTTAAGAAACAAAAAAACTCTAGATCATGTAGAATCACGTCAGAATCTTGACTCCATCAGTTTGTAAAATCATTAAATAATTGCTTATAATCAAATTTTTTATTAATTATTAACTAATGTGTCTCAACAAATTGTTTGCAAGTAAATATATTTCGACGACCGAAAATGTATACAAGTTATAGTTTCTTGTAAGAGGTGTAATAACTATTCCTGATAAATATATTTTGTTATAATTAACATGTTTATGTCCGAAATATATATATATATATATATTAAATTCCATGAAGACCTCATGAAGACACCTCACTCGCTTAGCCACTATTAATTAAATTCCATGAATCTTATTCAAGCAGATTTATGGACCAAGAGAATTTCCAAAGACCTCATGAAGACACCTCACTCGCTTTCTCTCTGTGTGTCACTCATTAAAAGTTAAAGTATTGAACCGTTGTTTCAGATCTTGACTATACATAAAAAATTTCTGAGCTCCCACTCCAATAATGCATCTCAATCATAGCACTAAACTGATCTTGTGATCGCAGTTGCGGATACGATCTCAAATTACGGATAATTACGGATGTTACGGACGTAATATTGTAATTTACTTTTTAAAAGTAATTATATTTTTAAATTACGAATACGTTGTAGTCCTAATTGAATAGGATGATCTCCATGGAGTTAGCCATTGCTTGTGCAAAACACCAAATTGAAAATCACCCCGTGGCCTTGTGTTTGTGTCACCAACCGAACCCCAGAAACGTGTCCCATGTTTCCTACACAAAAGCAACACCCTCGGCTTGTATGGTCAGAAATCCATTGATCCAAAACCTTGAGAGCATTCATTAGAGGGATCAAAAATGCATGCAGCGATCGGTGCATGGTTCGAGTGAAGATAAGGTGAATCTACCGATTGGATTTCATATGCTCTTTTGACCCTTCACTCAGATTATATCTGGATAAAAGTCGCTCTCCCCGACATTTGGTCCTTCAAATAAAATTTCTAATTATCCCCCCCCCCTCTCTCGTTCCCTTTGCAGCTTTGTTTGCACTTCTATTTCCTCTTCTTTTTTTATTTTCTTCTTTTGGCATTCTCTTCGTTTTTTGTCCATTTCTGTTCTAAAAAAAATGGTACACTGTCACAACAACTACTGCCATGTCGTTCCTTGTCTTCATTGCCACCCACATAGCTACATCAGGATGGTTAGTGAAATCTCGCTTCCAACTTGTGCACTGAGCGAATCATCGTGTTGTAGTTTATAACCAGTACCGTGTTTTTTTTCTGGTTTTGCATGGCCAGGTTCAGCATCTGATAGAGAGATGCTTGCTTCTTCACATGAACCAACAACAATGCGTCAAGGCATTGGCACACTATGCAAGCATTCGGCCATGCATTACAATCACAGGTGATAAAAAAGTTAGAGGAGGACGATTATGTATAGGCCATCATCGGCACTTTGGGGTTTCAACGTTTCATATATTAATGTGTTTTTGCAGTGTGGAGAGAGCTAGAAAAGGAGAATAAGGACTTCTTTCGAGCATATGTTCGTGCTTTCTCTTCCTACAGGCTTTTCATGGGTACGTGTTGAAGCATATACCCTACAATCCCAACCCTAAACTCCCATTTATCTTCAGCATTTCCATATATCCGTACATATATATATGTATATATTGTTCTGCAATATATTGTGTTGATTGCAATATAATTTGTTTGGTTTTCGATTTCCCAGGTAGGTACATTCAAAGGAAGCCAAGTCTTGAAAGGAAGAAACAGTACTGGAAGCACTGAATGACAGTTAATATTATTGCAGAGACGGATCTAAATTCATAGGTAAGCAAATAATCATTAGTGTTTCACTTTGCATGATGTTAATACTAGTTAAATCTTCATTTTTGGGTCACTAAAATCTTAAAGAACCAGCTAAGATACCAGCAGTAGTAAAGTTGGAATTTCTAAAAAACTCTGAAGTTTTTTTGGTTTGTTGAAGCCAGTCAGTAATCACTGGTACAGCTCTCTGGCAGCTTGCAGTGAAGAGTTCTTCATTCCCAAGAGCAACTCCCACAAAAGGGGCAAAATGATATTGAAACCCAACTATATATGCATGCTTCAGAAAATTTATACTAATAAAATCAAGCCGGGCTTGAAATTAATACTTCTTTCACTTCACTCAAACGGTGACTTGGCCCAAATGGAACTCCTTGCTGCTTTTCTTTCACGGAAATCATTGCCTTGTATGTGAACCTGAAATTTGCCACAACAGAAAGTCATGCAACCCTTTTCAGTGGCATAGATTGCCCCAAATATTAAGGACCTACCCAAGTGTCAACAGTATGTTCAAGTGTCCCCAAAAGGCTAGCTTATTAATTTTTTTACATGTAGTAGTTGAACTGCAATTAAAGGACTACCCCCTATCCCTATCCTTTGAAATGGGGAAACCAGCCTTTAAAACTTTTTTGTAATTAATTTGTATTACTGTTGCTTTGTAAGCTTAATTCCCATATATTAGAAATCATAAGGCATGAAGAAGGATAAGCATGCATGCATGCATGTGTCTGAAACTTGTCTTGTACTGATATATATGCTCATGAACTCGAGAGTACAGTACTATTTTACTGCTCTAAAACAGTTTACGCTAGATAGATGTACTTGTAAAGCATTTAAATTATCAGACTTTTTAGAAAAGCTAATTAATTAACCTCAGCGGCCTCTGAGTTCCATGATGCCTCTCCTTCCTGGTCACAACTCTCTCCTTCTCCTTTGTTCTGCTTGTGCATGGGAGGAAACTGGGCCCACTGAAATATCAAGACATATATAAGACATAAACATATATATATATTAGATCAGAAAATATATGCAGGAAAGGATTGGTTTGTCGTCTTGTTTATTCTTTTGGGTGTCTGAAACTTACATTTTTTGCAGCAGTGCTGAAGGCTTCTTTGTGTGGAATGTTTGGATTTTGAGCTTTTAGTCTCCTTATCTCCTCTCTGCAGCCATCAAGAATGAAACAATCTATAAATATGATAAATGTACTGACTACTAAGTCAAAGAAATTCTTGTTATATATATATATATATATGGAGTTGTTATTACTTGATGAAGCGATTATAAGCTGATGGAGCTCTTTGCCTCTTCTCCGGTGCTGTAAAATTTAAACTAAACTAGTATTAGAATTCTGATGTATAATTAAGCTACTTCAGTTTCTTGTTTTATGTTAAGAAACGAGCAGTATCCAACTATCCTTGGCTATAAATCGAAGTTTAAAAACGATAGAAAGAAAGAAAGAAAGAAAGAACGCACGCTTGTTCACTGTGGGATTCACGCGGACTATATCATCATCTCCATTATCGGAAGAATTCAGCAACGATGGGCTGCGCCTGTCTGAGGTCTTCCTAGGGGCACCCACTTCTTCTGAAAGTACTCCCTTTGGCTGCTTGAGAGAAGCATAATAAATTAATAAGCATATATATTGCCATTATATATATAATGAATATATACCTCATCATCATGACCTAGGGAAGCTAGAAGCTGCAGTGGTACAAATGAAGCTTTTATCATATTGACCGAAAGAAGGGTTGTGCAGTGCCCACATCTCACTGTAACCACCATGGACAGGCTGCTACTCGGGACACTTACCTGCAATTTTGAAAAAACCCAGATTATCAGCAGCTGAAGAGAGACCAAAACACTTCAACATGCATACAATATTAATCCATTCCTTTTTTTTACCAGCAAAATGGTAGTGCAGAAACCACATTGCACATAGCAAATCTGCTCAGGGAGATCAAAAAGATGATTCAGTGTCGACATTTTTTTGTCTGTTTGTGTGTGTAAGAAAGTGAGGGAAAATAGAGACACAGAGATTGAGAAAGAAGGTCTTTGGATGATTACAATGAGGATGATATTACATGGGAGGGTGGGATTTATAGATTGCACAAAGACCCTAATTACCTTTTTCCTTTGTTTGATGCTTTATTCTACTTAATTCCTTAAACATTGTGCTTCCATTATTGTTGTTAACCAAAAAATAAATACATTCATTCATGGAAGAATAAATGATATTCATATATGACAGATATTGCTGCAGAAGATTTAAATATGCAAATTTAGTTTCGGGTTAATAATTCATTCATTCATGTCCGTTCCGTTTTATGATCTTCATATAATGGTTACATTAACTTTTTTGCCAATTCATGTTCTGACAAAAGTACTCCAAGCAACCTTGTCAACGTTGTGATTCACACACTGTTTTAATTAAATTGCTAAAAACAAAAGCAAATTTCAACATTTCTGTGTGGTGTTTGATGTTTGCCATTGCCATTAGAAGGTAGAAAAAGCTTCCAACAGAGCCAGTTTTGTCAAAGGGACTCAGTGACTATAGGTTTTCATGTGTTGTTTTCAGTGAAGGCTCTTTTATACCATTTAGGAGAGGAGGGTAAGTTTCTAGAAGAGTGTATGGAGAAGGAAAATAGGCATCTTAGGTTTTTTCTTTCCTCAAACAAGGCAAGCTTGATGGAGCCTTGATGAGCAAAGATCAATGCATGCCCTTCACCCTGTAACTTTTCCACTGCTGTGTCTTTGTTCTTGTCATATAGAGACGCAGGAATTTATATCAGGGATACGAATTTAAGAAGTCATGGGGTGTGAAATTATAAAATTTTAAGAGTACAAAATTAAATTAGCGAAGAAAATATTTTAAATTTTCCGAGAATACAAGGCTACACTCCAACACCTCTTCGATCTTCGATCCATCCATCCCTGGTTGCATGCACCACCATCATCCTCAATGCATGCTAACATTTATTTCAGTTTCACCTTCTTCTTCCTTGCTTTCACTTCATTTTTACCCTGTTGTTTGACTGTCTCAGCCCATGTGATCCCATGTGTTGTCCCCACAAACCATTGTTCGAAAAAGGAATGTGTCAAAAACAGCAACTACAAATCATGGAGACTCGAGATATAAAATCACTTTTGACATGGAGAATAGCTTAATTACCGGTTACCACGCAGTTAAACATATTTGATGCATTAAAGAATGTAGATTTAATGCATCAAAGGATTTATTGTTGGTTACAGATATGGGTGGAAAGATTGTGTTGTTTTGCTCCTTTGCCGGTACATTTTCCTTTCTCACCTTCTGAATTGTCCAAAGTAGCCGTACGTTGCCCTAGAGAGTAATAATTTTTTAAGTTTACTATAATATAATCACTCATTATGTCTCGTTAAATTGAATTATATTTCTATAATATTTTACATGTGAAACAAGTAATGGGATTACGATACAAATATCTATTTTTTTCTTAATCGGATAATATGATAAATTATATTGAATATGAGATAAACAGACATATATATGTTGGGTCCAACATTGAATATTCTCATTCCTAGAGTTCTTAAATTTAGAATCGTCGTTGGATGAGTAGAAATAAAATACTGAGATCAACTCTTTTTTTTTCAGTGAATATCTTTTCATTTTCCATTGTTGATCTCAACCATGAACCATCTATTTTCCTTATGTAACTATGCTAAGTTTACGTAAAATTAAAAAAAATTGTACAATTGGATCCTCTCCATATATATATATAATTTTAAAAATAAGAAATGAGAAGATATTCATTGGAAAAAAAATTATAATGTATTTTACCTTAATTAATTTGAGAACTATTTGAAAGTGATAGAGGGTCCTTGTCCCCTTACATAATCTACCAATAACTTTTTTATTTGGAAGTTTACTTGATACTTATATCTATTAAAATAGACCGAATATATATATATATATATTTTAAAAATAGAAATTTTGTAGTTGTATTGTTATAGACTATTAAAAATATATGGTTAAGATTATAAGTATCAAATGAAAATATTTATAAATAAAGAAAAATAATCTCAACAATCTACTTATACAAATCCAACGATCTTAAAAATGTATAAAACTAATAATTTTGCAGTTGATGTGAATAAATCTTAATCTTATATATATATATGAGTGAAAAAAGAAGGTTGCGATTAATTCTTATTTTTTTTCTTCCTGATAAATATATTTTTATTTTCTACTATTAATCTCAACCGTCTATTTTTCTTATGTCACTACACTAAAAAATCTATATAAAACCAAAAAAAATAATTATATAGTATAATTGAACCTCACATATATGTATATTCTTTATATTTGTATATTTGATAAGTATAATCGAATATTACCAACTCTATTTGTATCCCTATTCATGCCTCTGTCCTTTAACCTCCTCTTTTATGGGCTTTAAAGAGTATGGAGCTACGGTAGACTTTTTTATAGCACAACATTTTGGGTGCAAATAAATTGGTTATTTGCAAAATGCCCATTTAAATTTCAAGTGTGTGAATCCATCTATTATGAATTTTAATAAATTTAATTATTAATATAATTTTAATAATTTTAACCTACATATTTTTTAGTTAATTTATTTTGATTTGAATCATTAATTTTTTTATAGCGTCAGCTTAATAATATATATGATAAATCATGTGCACTTCAATGTTAAAATGGTACTGCAAGTATCAAGAACGAACTTATATATAACATGGAAGTGACTCGAGTCTCCCAAAATATAATGATATTTTTTGTCCATATCATTTAAATAATATTCGATTCAAATTTTCTCCTCGTGATTTTTGAATTTAAGAATTTAATAGATATCTAATTTTAAAAGTTAGACAATTTATTTTCTTTTAATATTGATGTTATATCATATTAGTAAATGATTTTTCTTAAACAATTCTTATTTAGGGAGAGGGGAAGAGAAATTTTGCTCCTAATAAATATAGAATCCATAACCTAAGGAAAAATAAAAATGTCAACCGAGAACTTTTAGTCATTTATAATTATTGAAATATTAGTAAATAATTTTAAACTATAAAACATCTATTTTAAATATTCCCAAAGCGTGGCAATTGACAAAACAAGCTAAGACTACTAAGCAGAAGCGAATGTGAAGAATGAGGCCACATGAAAGCCCTCTTTTGACGAAAACGGGTAAAGAAAACAAAAGAACACGAGAATTTTATGAGGTTCGACAATGTGTTTACGTCTTCGGTGCCTAGGCGGCGCTAGAAATTTTATTCAATGATATTTTAGGTCTATGTTACATCTCTATTTATAATAAAAAAACCCTGGTACATAATTACAAAATCAACCCTGTACCGTACCGCGAAGGCTGCGCTCCCGCACCCCCAACCCACATAATTCGTAACCCCACAACGAGACTTTCTTTGTAAGGACAGTTGATGTTCGCTTCGCTCACTCCGCTCCATCCCCTGTCCTCTTTACTGGTATATTTATGAGCCATACCAAACACTCTTCAAATCTATTGCATTTCTTATGTTTCTTTCTTCGGCTCTATGCTACTGACTATCTATGTCCGTTGGAGGATTGTAAATGAGACAAAACATATTTTGAATTACTCGAGCTTTGATTTAATTAAAATTTAATAAATATTCGATTCGAGTTGGAAATTGATTCGAGTTCAAAACAAGCTACTTGATACTCAAATCGAAAAACTTACAAATAACTCGAAAAAATAATATATTGGAATTTTATTTTTTAAAATTAAATTATTAATAGAATTAACATTTATGTGTTGATTTTAAAAAAAATACAATATAAGGTTTTCATATACATAAGGTTCAGGTTCGAGTTTAAGCTTCAACTAAGTTAAGTTCAAGATTTGTTTTTATTATTTAAGTTTTTTGAATTTTTTTCAGCTTCAATTCATGGTTTCGAGTTCGAGTTAAACTAAACATTTTAAACTCATAAATTCTCAAGCCGAGTCAAACCTTATTTAAAATTTTCAAGTCGAGTCGAATTCAATAATACTCAAATTCGACTCAGCTCATTTACAAAAAAATATAAATTCGAATTAATTTAAATATAATATATTTTCAACCCTAGGTCACATCCCTTTCCTTAATAAGTGGATGTGTTATGCCCTCCACCGTTAATTTTTTTTAAAAAATAGTGTTGATTAATATCTAATTCTGTCAAACATTTCTTTCTATCTACACTGACGCATAAACATTTTCATTTATTTGATAATTTAAAGAT